CCCCCGCCCCTGCCCCGGAGAAAAATCCACCAGCCGCCACTGATAATGTGGAACTGCATTTCTTTCAAAACAATGCACAAATGCTATGAGATGGATTTCCCCTTCTAAGCTAAGGCAAGGCTGCTAATGCAGCCCCGTACCTGCCTCAACACAAAAAAGCACAAAAAACGTCTTTCAGTGATGACGAAGTTATGAAAGAAGCGTTTGATGCTGCAGACATGCTTTTCTGTGATTTTAAAAATAAAAGTGAGATTGTGAGAGATTGGTCCGGTGTTCAGTGTAAATTTGCAGTACACAGAGACTGCTCCGGTATTGAAAATGAGGTTTTGACTCTGAAAAATGACATTGCGATCAAATCCAGAGCAACAGGTCGCATGGATGGAGAGTTCTGGAGTCAGCTTTCTCTCACGTGAAAATCATCAAGTCCAAGAACAGATCCACAAAGACTGATAATCATTTGGAGATCTGCTTACACCTCAACCACCTCATACTGCCTGCCTATGAGACCCTGGCCTCCTCTCAGTGTCAGAAGTCCCACTAAGGTAGACATACATTTATTTTTATATAGCTTCTTGCATAAAAAGTTGTCTCCTCTAGACTTGTCACAATGTGTCTGTATGTTGTTTTTATTACATTATAGACCAGACTAGTGTCTTCTACACTGACTGGCACCTTTGTGTTATTTATTTATTTATTTTGCAGTTTGGGTGTGCCCTTGTTTTCTATACCTAACGTGGCTCTGTGTGTGTCTTGTTTATAGGTGGTGAACAGGTGGAATTCTTTGGATGGTCTGGAGCCAGCAGTCTTGACCAGTGAGGGACTGAGCCCTTTAGCACCTACAGATGACACCATCCTGCTGCAGATTAAGGTTTGAAATAGTTGTTGGAGATTTGTGAATCTGCACCATCGTAAGTCACTTTTTGTAATAGTACAAACAAGAGAGTTTTATATTGCGTGCATTGAATTTAGTTTTTTGTTTTGTTTTTCCTCCCCTGTATGGAGAGAAAGAGAGGAGAGGTCTTTGAATAAATGGAGACAAGTTCCAGTGCTCCAAAATTATTTAAGTCTGTGGTTCTCTCAGTGTGCAGGTTTCCAGCCCTCATAGCTCGCACGTTACAGGGAGTACTAATTGAAGGAGGTAAAAAAAATTATCCTTTTTGATTGAGCATCACTTTTCTGTTTCTCTGTCAGGAGTTAAGGATTTTATCTTTTCTTTTTTGTAGGTAAATACATATATGGTTAAGTAGATAGTTTTGTTTGACAATACTTTAAATTAAATAAAACTAGCAACACATTACGTTCTGTTTTATTTAAAGAAGTGAGGAATAGGGAGATGAAAAATTATGTTGTTTGATACTGAGACTGGATGAGTAGATCTCAGCAAACTGCCAACTTCAAAAGTAGCTCTTGGTTCAAAAAAGGTTGGGCACCCCTGCTAAACAGTTTAAAATTACTAATATATCGGCATGTTTTCTTACCTAAGCTCTACTATAAACATAAGAAAATGACCAAGAGGCAACAGAACTAGGAATCCACAACCTTATCTTTTTTAACACAATGGGCCTCATGCAAGAACCGTTCGTACGCACAGATCTGTTCTTAAGTTGTGCGTACGAGTGATTTAGGAGAATTTGTGGCATTCACCAATGTTTTCATATCCTAAGATTTTTTTCAGATACGAACAAAATTTACGAGTGGTCCAGACCTGTTGTATATTTTACGTGAAGAC